GACGCCTGGAGACCGGCGGCGGACCGGAAGGAGGGAAGAACTCCGCCCGCCGAGGGAGGGGGGGGCGGGGCGGGGCGGGGCTATCGGAAGTCACGGCCCCTCTCAGGGCGGGCGCCATAAAGGTCGTGTGAAGTATTCTGACTGACCCGCTCAGGTTTCGTCCCGTCCACCTAACGGAGGTCCCTTGTGACAGAAGACGGAGCAGCCGTCCCCACGGCCTGTCCCTCGGCCGGGAGGAGCGGGCTCGGCTTTTACTTTTCGCCGGGAAAGGGCCCCGCCGCCTCGGGGAGCGGCGTCGGGAGAGCTCCGCGTGGCAGCGGGAGGGAGGCCCCGGCCCCTCACAGGGCGGCCGCTGCCCGGAGAGCGGGCTACCCGTCCGGGGCCCAGGGGCGGTGCTCTCTCTGCTCAGAGAGGGCTGGGATCCTCGCGTAAAATTAAACGTAGGTAGTGAAAGGGTGAGGGTGTGATGGCTAAACTCTGCACTGCCTGCGCCATTCCCTGCTAGTGGAACCACGGGCCCTTGGAATGCGGTGGAAGAAGCCTGAGGTGTGCTGCTCTGCAGGGAGCCCGGGGGGAGAGTCTCAGGGTGCCGTTCGTTTGCGGCATCCTGAAGTTTTTAAATTAATCTTGTACGTCCTCTGTCAGTAAGATCTGAAAGTGCTTTCAGATGGAATGTAAGTAATCCGTCACATTTATTTAAAAAAAAAAAACAAAACTATTTTTTTATTTACTTTCAGTAGCAAGAACTCTGAGACATCACTGGTGGGTGGGTATCCCTTTAGTTCAAATGCCACTCTCCGTGGTTAGTGCCACAGCAATCCACTACAAAGCTCAGTGCCAAGTCAGCAACAAACCAGGGAAGGTGCTAGTGGCACAGCCATTGCCTTGTCAGCTGCTTTTGTCCAATGCCTGTCCAGATAAGAGTTCTAAAATTCTTAAATGGCCTGATTTTAATTAAATGCTGTAAATCTCCCAAACACAGCAGCATGAGTAGAGCTAGTCGTCTTTGTGCTGACCTGTGAAGAGAACGCAGGCTGGAGACTGACATTTGCACAACTAGAACCCGTTTCTCCAGACGCTAGTATACTGGTTTTAAAAGCAAACATTCCAGTTAGATCATGTATTAGCCAGAAGTGTTTTTCAATTTACTACTACAAAGAAGTAAGTTGCCATCTGTGATGGTTGTGAATTACTGCACCACTTATTTTGAAATACACTGAATATTTAATTGGCCATCTAATGAGCCTTTTCTGTGCACCACCAGCCTGAAACACCTTATAATAACCCAGCCTAACAAATTCAGTGTCGATTTGGTTTTGGCACTTCCATTAATGTGGGTGCTAAATACAAATTACTTTTAAAACAGGAAATAAGTCCCACAAGTTAAAAGTTCCCAACTCCAAAAACAGGGTGAGAAAAAATTAGTACGTTTTACATCTTTCTAAAAAAATCAGTTCAACAGAGGGGACATATCAGTAACAGCAGATTCTGCTCTTTAGCCAGTGTCGTTTTGAGGTGGCCCTAATTTTTTGAGCTTTTCTTCACTGAGTTACTGATTGAGCTTCATTTACTGAAAGCCACAAAACATTCAATTTTTAATGCTTTTGAGCAATTGATTGAAGACATCCCTATGATGGATGTTTAAACAAAAAGCACTGATGCTCGGAGTTAAATCACTACTGCTCTTCCTTTCTTTTGATGACACACAGATAGAACAGATGTTCTGGTCTTGCCCTACTGATGCAGTGGGCAACTTGGTCAGCTATAGCTGACCCTATTTTAAACAGGAGGGCTGGACTAGATAGGCTCCAGAGGTCCTTTCCGACCTCATCCGTTCCTTGATTCTGGCATTATTATAATAATTGTGTTTCACTTTAACTTTTCTAGAGACAAAAACCTGTGGTTACTAGTAATTCTGTGAAGAACAGCTTGATGTAGTTAGATTTGAGAATGTTCTTTCTACTTGAAAGAACACACAATTCAAATTAATGCCTCATTCTGAAATGCAGTTTGTTTCTTGAGAACTTACCGAAACTGTCAGAATGATCCTAAAACAACAGTTTATACAAAACCTCATGTCAACTTTGTCCTCAACTGCAGTTTCTAAAGTATTACTAAATTTGGGTTGAATGATGAATAATTCGGGTATCTTGACCACAGCAAATAAAAATAATTGGTGTTTTTGCAGAACAAAATACGTCCTTGCAAGTGGGGTAAAAAAAAAGAAAAAATGAAAAGTTAGCATTAGTTAGTTAGCCAGTACAGTTCCTTGCAGTACTTCTACGTTTATACATTCACTGCTCTTCAAAGCATCCCTGTAGATGCTGGCCTGAAACTCCTTCAGTTTCAGGTCGTATTTTTGTTAAGTACCAAGAGAAGTAGAGTCAGCATTTCTTTACATTATAATACAAGCTTTTTGGTCTTTCACAAAAAATCACAGAATGCTTGAGGTTGGAAGGGACCTTGATGATTTTGAAGAAGAAAAAATAAAAACATCTTTTTAATTGTTGATGTGGGAAATAAGCTAAGTTTTGCTTCAGCTAATTGATGTATCATTGTTAGTGTGATAGTACTAACAAAGAAGCCTTAGTAATAGTAGAGTCTAATAAATTGTATGCAATTAATCCCCAGAAATGCCCTTGGTCTGTCAAAGGATCCTTGTTCGCAGAGTGTTATCTAGGTGAAGAGAAACAAACTGGAACATGGCCTTCAACACAAAAACCCAGAGGGGAGGGGAGTATCAATAAGGCCAAAAAAAAAACCAGTCTGGTAAATCTGCCAAGTAGATGGTAGCAAAGACTCTGAAATAACGTGTAGCATAATCAACTAATCAAAGGCGTGTTTAGGATAATGATTTTGTAGAATAGGTGTATGTGTGCCTTATATGGGAAAAAGTGCAAAATAAACCTGTAATAGGTCAAGCGGTCGGGAAGAATGTGAGCTCCAACTTCTCAGCCAATGAGAAGGGAGACAGAAACTCAAGCGGCCGGGATAAAGGTATAAAATACGTGAAAGCTAAAAGATCAGCCTGCATCTATTTTTGGTGCACCCGATTCAGCGCTGTTTCGTATTAATAAATTATTATTTTAACCTTTGCTTCGGTGACTTTGTCCTCTTTAAATTCTAAGATGCGAGTCGGTGTTTCTTACATTGACATCGGATTTGTTTCACCTGCAAAGCAGAAATAAAGGGCTAGAAGCTTTGTTTTTTCACTGATTGAAATTTATTACAAATACACATATTCACTGCTTATTATGTGCCTGCTGCACTTTAGAAACAAAACCATATAGAACTAAAAGTGATTTTATTAAATATCAGAAAATACCCTGCAATACACAATCCTACTGCAAGTCATTTACCTTCAACCAGGTGTAAAAACCCTCGTGCATCTGAACATACTTCTCACAAGAAGTACGTAATATATATATATATTGGTACCAAGGTGCGTGAAACCAAAAGCACAAGACTTTCAAGACTGATCTCAACTGAAACAAGATATCTGAATTTCTTTTCACTAACAATTAGTACAGGCATATTTTGTCACAGTATTTTTGAAATTTTTTAAAGACGAACAACAAAATCCCCCAAATGCCTTTAAATACGGCATGAAAGTTATCAGGCACTATGACAGTTCAAGATACAAACTAATGGCTCTGCCAAAAAGAAATGTAAAGGCTTCCAGGGCAGCCAGAAGCTAGATGACTTTCCCCACTCCTTCTGTACAGGTCTCTGCAGGGCAATGTTTGATAAGCATAGAGCTTATCAAACTGCACGTAAGTGTAAAAAACTTCAACGTGCCATGGACAGGAACTTCTACAGGGTTAGCTTCTTTTGCTGTCTTGCTGAGACTCTGAGATCTGTGGGATCCCTTAGCCTCTACTTAGGGAAAAACTCATCTCCTTTACCTTTTCCCTCTACTTAATCCTTTACCTGATGGGGAACTCTCTTATGGAAGTCTTCCATATGTAAGACTTATGGAAAGTCTTACACTCTCTCTGAATATCAGCATCATGCCTTCGGAATTACTTTCAATAGGCATGAAAACAGTCACAAAAAGCCTGAGAAATCCAAACCTGTATTTCAGATCAGCAGCTGCTTCAGAACTGAAAATAAATTTACCTCTAGTCCTGCAGCTCTCTTCCCTGGGAGACATCAAAGCTAGTTCAAACCTTGGATACATAGCCACAGGAACGCTCATTTGAAGAACTCGTGTTCAGGTAGCCTGGAAGACTGACTGTGTATGCGTCACAATTACAACTCCAGATTACAAGTGCAGAACCAAACACAAGTAGTTTTCAAAATGCTATCACAAGTTTGTGACTATGCAGAAGAGACACTGTAACCATTAAAAACAAAAAAAAAAGTGAGACCAGCAACCTGTATGCACAAATGTTCTGCCGTGGTGCACCATCCAGAAATCCAGAGGTCTCCATGTCTTCCAAGCCTCACACCCCATCTTGCAGGAGCAAAACCAGCTTCTATACCTGTCTGTGGCTGCCATAATGACTGCCATGTATCAGAAAAAAGGCCATTTCGTGGGGTATCTGTTTGTGCACTTCTTAACCAATCATCACTGCAGTTACATGTCAAGCAGCATTTTTACCAAGAGGGTATCTCTAAAGGAAGGGGAACATGCTTTTCTTTGTATCCCCTATTTACCCAATGTTTTCAATTACAGGTTTTGGATAAAGGGCCTCAAGCATGACCAGGTAAAACTTAAATATGCCCCAGTTATGGCCAACGCAGGCTTTGGTTTAGATCAATATAATCCACACATGAGGATAACGTGAGTTAGAAGAACTGAAGTTAATGTTATAACTTCACATGCACTGCGCAGAAATTTAGGACAGTGTTTCAGTAGGAGACAAACATGCCTCCTCTTCTTCTAACAACACAACCTTCCGTCTGGATAGAGACATCACAGACTTCACGACAGTTAAAGAAATTCTAACAAAAATGCGCAAGGCAAGAAAAGCAAATGGGATTACAATCTGCATAAGATGGAAAATTGCTGTGCTAAATTCACTTAACAAACATGTCAGAAAGAAGGTCCCAAGGCTTACACAAGGGTAGAGAGCCAACTTAGCAAACATGAAGGCATGCTCCTTGCCACCATATCTAGCAAAAGAATGCAAAGTTTCCCTTTCATGGAGAAGGGCTGTAGTCCATATTGCAAACTGAAATATGCTGGCAAAGAAAGTGATAACACAGCTGACTTGAATGGCTTCTATTTCATTGTGAGACTTCTCTGCAAATTCACTGGTCAGCTGGTAAGCTAGTGGAAGCCCACCAATGAAAGCCAATGAAAATATGTTAAGCAGTCCCATTAATCGTGTAGCTTTTGTTAGATAAAGGAAAAGTGAGTGATGGACAAACCACAGGAGACCAATTGTTACAAATGAGCCAAAGTAGGCAAGGTAGTTTGGCCCATATTCACTTAAAGCTTCAAGAAGGCTGCCATGGAACTTCTCCTCAACTTCTCTGGGATCAGGGACGTTGTCTTCACTGCAGAGAGAAAACTTACTTTACTTTGCGTGTTACTGCTATAAAAACACACCTGGAGCAACACTGAACTACGTTGCTTTACTCTGAGCAAGTAGGGAACAACAGGCATCCACTTTGTAGTTCTCATCCAATTTGTAACTTAAAAGCAGCATTTCAAATAACAGGTTTGCAAATAAATTAGACCTGAAATCTGAAAGCAAATCTGCATTCCTTTAATTTAATGCAACAAAGCTGCAACAAAGTGACTAAGCAGCTTTTGTTGATAAAAGCCTTTTATCTGAAAACATGACTAGGCAAAAAGGAAGCTTTGTTCTTCAAGATTCCCCACCTCAACATAAGTTAAACAGACTGATGATCACTAGTTTGCGTTCTGTACCTTTCCAGAAAATCACACTTAAAGTAACCACTGCAGGTTTTAGAACCAAGACAATGTTTAGTTAATTTTATTTCCTCAAATATTACAAATAGACAAAAGTTAATACTCTATTTAACAACATAGAGTGTAAGAGGCAACACAAAGCCTTACCATATGTCCAAAATGAGCAGGGTTGCTACAATAGCATAGACTCCATCACTGAATGCTTTTACCCGTTCCTTACTCAGAGGCTCACTGCGGTAAAAAGCGAAGCTTTCCAAGCTATGGTGTTCCTCCTCTTCATCTCTCTGACCTGGATACAAATCCAGATGGTTACTAATCAAAGACAAAAACCAGGTAGTACAAAACAAGGTAGTTAAACAACCTTCTGTGACCTCCCTTTCTCTTTCTTCCCATCTGCCAAAATCTTTCTGTAGAAATAAGGGTGCTGTTCACTCACACAGGTCAGTCACTCCACTATTTGCAGCAGCTGTGCCTCTCCCTGAAGTTCATGTTGCTTTCAGGACAAGTGCTTCAGGGACAAAAAAAGCTCTGTCCTTTAAACTGTATGGGCAGACCACTTCCACTAAGTGAATAATGACTTCAAGCTGTAATTCAACAAAACATTTGAGCTAAACAAATCAGATGCTGTGCCTCGGGAAGCACAAATAGCTATAGGTCCTCTCAGACAGCGTGGAGAACTTATAATTCATGGGAGAAAAAGCTCACTGGAGCACGGGGGCTGCACTGGGACATCAAATAGCCTGCTTTAAAATAAATCCAGTCTTTGGTCAAAAGGTGGGGCTCTGGAGCTTTTATAGGAAAAATCAGACACATCTCAACTGCCCAGCTAGGCAGGCTGCACCACATCAGGAGTACAGACCGGACAATGAAAAATCTTAGAGCTTCCAGAGGAAGTAAGGAGAGGAACTGAATGAAAAGTAAGTGTAATCACCACTCAGAGCAGTAATTTATGTCAGCCATTGATGGGCTGAGATGTCTACAGACATGACCTGACTGCAAAATGCAGTGCCCCCGTAGCTGTAGGTACCGGGTTGCCTGAGAGACATTTCAGAGCATTGCTGCCACATGAGGCAGGAGTAAAAGTATGTCCCCATAAGCAAGGGACATGAGGGAAGGAAGCACGGATTTAGGTTTTAAGCTATGCATGAAGACACAGCTTTAGATCACAGCAGTTAGGTTAATGAGATGTAACACACTAAACAGTTAATTATCCTGAAAAAGCTTGATTTATAGGTGCTCTGCTTGCCAGTTTGAAAATGTGGGACCATACAATATTGCTGGGAAGAAAGTGCATATAGCAAGGCATGCTTCCTATATTCTTCAATCCTCGTGCTCCCTTTTTAGGAGGAAAAGGGGACAGATGGCCTGCAGCCATCATTAACATACTTGCGTGTGTGTGCATGCATGTGCATATTCAGGAGAAACCAGAGAAGTTTTGCACTCAGAAATGATCTTTGCATGGGTTATGCCTTATCTAAATCTAGTCACAAATTAAGGGAAACCAGGGAGTGAGGGAGAAACTATTTGGTAGCATAGCAATAAACCCCAAAATCCCTATGTTCCAAGACTGAAAATGGACATAGAACTAAAACTACTTCATTCCAGGCTGTTTGCATAACATGTTGACAACCTAATGCCGTATCTGAACATATTCCTATGAATATTGTTACTCACCAACAATCTTGGTTTTACACCATGTAATGAACCGAGTGAGATGTGGAAAAACGATTACGAGCCCAAGAAGTACGTAAGACTATAGAGAGGAAAATGGAACACAGTTTAAATTTAGTTATCAAAATATAAATTATCTTACAAGTTTAGTATTAAACTATTACACTCAATCTTTAGACATAATCACATTGAGAAAAACAAATTTTGATTTTATGATATGGAAAAGGCTCACCTGAAATGCACATGCACCTCCTGAATATTGAATGTGCACCTTAATACTGCTTCTCAATAGCTAATTTAGTGCCAGTAATAAAGTAAGCTAAATGAAAGAGAGAAATAATTCTGCTAACAAAAATGCATTAGTAACTTCTTTGGAAGCTGAAGAACTATCCCACATGATCCTTATGGGTCCCTTCCAACCTAAGGTAGTCTTTGATTCTCCTACTTGTGTCCCACAGACACCTCTGTGCGTCTTAAGTGGTTCACAGACTTTGCACAGATCTATGCACATGAGCAACTTGGAGACTAATTTCACTGTTATAAACATTAAAGGAAAATACACCAGTGAACAAAGTGAGGGATAAGAGGGTATAAGAGGAAAACATATTTTCAGTTAAAATTAGTCCTTTTCAATGTTGGACTCAGAAGTGACCCTTTTATCAACAGCAACAAATCCTCACAAATTTGAGGATTATTTAAACACTACTAATTCCTATGGAATCTTTCTCAAATTTCAGCTAAATCCACCTTTTCCTAAAGAACAAGACAGAGAAAAGGAAGATCAGGATACATCCAAAAACTACATTTGAGTTCCAAGTGGTGGTTCTGAGAAAGGCAAAAGCTATTAATAAGTAGGAGCAACACACTGCCATTTAATAAAGATGGCAGAGAAAAAGACTGTGTAAGACCAGTCCTTAGCCAAAAACATCTGGTTTAAGATGCAGGTTGGCTGATTAGTCTACTTATTCTATTTCCTCTTAGACCCAGAGTTACTGCAGCAATTACATTCACTTGTCTTCAGTTTGTGCAATATGATGTTTATTTCATGTAACCTTTCCCATTATCTCACCTACTTATGATGAGCAAGATGCTAAGTAACAGTTTAGAAGACCTGCTCTTAATTAGGAGAAGCATTAAAGAAAATAATGAAGAGCACGTTAAGCAAATATTGTAGCAGAATATTCTTTCAAAACTATCCAAAGTCATGGATCAAATTATGGATTGGTATCTGGGAATTGAACGCCCTCAGTGTGAAGTGGCAGCTGTGATTATAACAGCACTGAACTTGCAACTCAGAAAGTCTGCATGTTTAACATGGACATCATTATTTCAATACACAGTCCTGAATACAACTGATATAAAACTGCTGCATCTAAGGCTTCAAGTAACTTGGAGAACTTACCAAAGGAATAAAGAAAAAAGAAAAGATGGCTGCTAAAAAGCATAACACTGGTCCTCTCAGAATAATCTTTAAGATATGCCGTTTATAGAAACTCTGATTTTCAGAAACTTGTATCTGTTGATTCAGTAAGTGTGGGTGATAGAATCCATACAGTACTATCAAAGCCTGCAAGGAGAAGAGCATTACTGAAATTATTACATAGTATCTGTAGCATTTCAGATATAAAACTGTAAAACTATAAATCAACAAATTCCAAAATACTTTCAAATTTATTCTTCACTGCCATATGGAGGGCTGGTCTTAGAAACTCTAAGATTTCACAATACACTGCATGTTCAAGATTTTAGTATCCTCTGGGGAGCCTGCCCTTGCCATGGATCTTGTATCAAGAGGAATGAAGACCTCCAAAATAAGGAACAGAAAGCGACAAGGAACTGCACCAGGAGAGAACCTGGTGCCACTGGACTGAGGCTTAAAGCCCATGTTCATTCAGCCATTGCTGCACAGCTTAGTAAGAGCCTCAGCAGGAAAAGTCAATTGTTATTTCCCCAAGGCATTTTTAAAGAGTGGGAAAGGTATTACTATTCTGTGAGCTTTGAAATCAGCTGATTTAGTTGCATAAATCAGCTTCACAGGACAGTGGCAATGCAAACTTTCATCTTATACACAGGCACTATATTATCACAACAGGCACAACTTTGAAAAAGAATGCTATAGAAACAAAAAAGGTATTTAGCAATTTATACCCATAGTTAAGAAATGTAGTTTTAGTTCTATCCAAGAAAATCTATTTAAAAGTGAAAACGTAATAATAACTCCGATACCTGTATAAGGCCGATGACAACAGCACAGACACTAAACAGGAAAATGCCAAAAGGTACCTCTGGAAAGGAGGCCATTAAGGAAAACTAGAAAAAAATGCAACTAGATCAAATATTTAATTAATAAGCAATCTAGGAATAACAGTAGAGAAACAGACGTATTCTTCATTCAATATTGAAACTCAAAAACCTAAATAATACTTTCCATTTCAACATAACTTGACTAAATGCAATTTCTAGCCACAAATACATGCAGGCATTCCAACCAAAGGCATCTGGAGAGATGGCTTTGCTCTAGTGTTGCTACTGCAAAACCTTAACATCTTTGACACTATGCTTCCACAATCACTGCAGACTGACTTGTAGCTAAGCATAGCATTTAACAGTGTTTTCAGTGGACAAGATATTCATAGCTGCGAAAATTCTTGGTATTAGGATACCCTTCTGAATCTTTTAATTTCCCTACCTCAATAGCTCCCTGTTGTATTAATTTCTGCAGCTTCACTAGGGGGAAAATAAGAAGCAGGGAGTACCATTAGCATAACACTAACAACTTAACAAAAATTGTTACAGCTTCAAGACAAAGTAAGTTGTATATTGTATTGCTGATAAAGATCATTTTACTTACTATAGGCTTATTCTTTGCAGACAAATATGTAACAGATATATCCACAGAGAAAGAGGTGCCTGTCATATAAATGCCTTTTAAGCAACTGTTTTGTGTTGCTAATACAGTGCTCAGTTGCAAATACTCTTGCTAGGTCTAAAGATAATCAAACTAGAAATTGTGCAAAACATCAATTTTTGAGATTTAAAAAAATCAATAATTGGCTGCTGAAATTAACCTTGCTGAATAAGTCAAAATCGCTAACAAAAACTCTGTCTAAATTACAAAAGGAAAATGTTCAGACATCTAAAGTGGAATTTAAAATACAGCTTTACTTCCCTTACAAGATGCAAAATTCTCATCAGTCAGGCAACTTTGACATTTTTCAATACAGCTGCTTTTTTAAAAGAAATTATGGGAAACTATGACTTCTCATAATTATAATTTTTCTTCTATCATATTCACTTTCTGCCAGTTCTATAATATGCAGTAATTGGAGGTTGTAAGATGTCCTCAAGAATTTTAAAAAAGTGAGGCATAACTATTACTATGGATTTAGGGTTTATACTGTAACAACACTTTTTTTGGTCTTCTGAATACTTTGGTAAAGTCTTTGCAAGTGAAAAAAAGGAAAAATCCCTGTAATTTAAGTATGCGTCAAATTTTTAAAAAGTACTTACTGTGTATGGCAAGAAAGTTATGATCATCATACAAGCCTAAAAAAAAAAAAAGTATACTGAAACACTAGGTAGAATACAAAGCAAGCAATTCCTCATTGAAGATGAGTCCAGAGAATGCAGCACAGAGAGATCAAATGCTTGTTCTGTGTCATTAAAATAAAAAAATAAATTCTGTTGTTAAGTCACTGAGCTTGACTGTAACAAATGGCTAGTTCTGCACACGCCTTCCGTGTTTGCTATCCGAACTGTACAGGCTTATTTAAGAAAACACTACAGTTTTGTACTGATAACCGCGGGTAAAAGTTTTCTACGGTTCTTAACAGACTTCTTTCTAAAGTAGCAAGGTGAAAAGTACTACATCTCCTAAAGAGGTGTTTCTGATTTGTCAAAAAGATTAATCTCTGATCACAAATATTTCATATAAAAAAAAGCCAAATTAAAAAAAAAAAACCAAACCCACACCTAAATCACAAAGAAATGCATTGCTTTCAAAGCTATATAGATAAGAATTCATGCCTTAAGCTAGTCCTTTAACATAATTTCCTGTAGCGCTATCTCATGGAGTATTTTTATTCATAAAAGTAATAATTTTTATTAATAAAATATATTAACTGTGTGGTTGCACACTGTCAGAGAACAGACTTTTAAACAATATAGCAAAATACAAAACTGTAGCTGAAAGCAAGAATATGTTCACCATTGCAGCATCCCATTACAACCACTAGTAACCAAGATGTCACAGGATGGTTCATTAAAAAACATAAATAAATGAAGAATTTTTAAGTGATTTAAGCAAGTGTAAAGTTTGAAACTCCGATTCAGCAATTGTTCTTCCAGTGGTAATTTCTGAAGGATCATATAATCCTGTTTCAAATAAGCTTCAGAATTAATTTCTGAGCCATTTAAACAGAGAAATGACTGAACACATAACTGTAATTCAAGCCTATCACTAAGATTTTTTGCAACAAAAGACACAGCATTAAATTTTCTTAAGCCTAGAGGACAGATACTTCAGCTGGACACTGATGAACAGAGTTAAAAGCTTCTGCCATAGCTGCCTCTTCTGTTCTCTCAGATGAACTTCACACTAACCTGTCACAGAGCTTCTTTTGGCTTATAGTAAAACATATGGAAATTAAAAGCAAGTTACTTATCAATCAGTCACTTTGGCAAGGAGGAATTCAAGCTCTTTGTATCTTCCTGACTTGAAAATCTGGCATAGTTTTGCTATTTAAATTAGAAACTTTTGAATAGGTACATACAGACTTAAGAAAAAGGGACCTGTACTAGCTAGTTAAACATCCAGCGTGTCTGACAAGACTCACCAGATTTAGAAGAGCGAGGACATCATCTATAAACTCTATCACCTGAAACAACCTGTCAAGGCAATGCAAGATATCATGAACAAGCAAGCTCACAAAATACATTTTACAACACCACATAGAAATTGTACACTTCTGATATTATAGGGGAACCTGATTTCCTTTGCTCCTGAATTTATACAAGTAGTCCAGGTGCTACCAAAACTCATTACCTCAAATATGGAAGTAATTTGTCAGAAAAATTTGAAAAGTGAGCTACGAACAGTCAAGTTCAACCACAGAGCAGTTATTAAGAACCTAATTTCTACTTGAAGGACAAGTGGCATTTGATGTAGAAAACTAGCTTCCCCCCCCAACCTTACTCTATCCTTCCTCTATACCTGAAAATACGTATATACTTTGAAGGAAATGTCACCAATGTTAACAGCCAATTTGGATATGAAGAAGTGATCCAAATGTCAGTTCTGACCCAGAGAGTCACATACCAAAAACCTAACAAAGCAATGAGCTATTCCTTGGGAAATGGAAGATATGGGGGTAATTTGGGAGCAGGAGTTGATGACAATTCTCTGGAGGAGCTGCCACTTCACTATAGGATGCAATGCAGCCAAGTGACAGGTCAGGCTACTGGCTTGCTCTCCCCCACAGCAGTTTTGGTCCAGAACAGCTCTATGTTTTGCCACCTGACACACTCGGGATGGGACAGCCAGCAAAACTGCTAGTGAGCTGTGCGAGGCTTGGGAGTCACAGGACAACTATCGTTAGCTATCAATTAATTACCTGTTTACTGTAACACAGACAAGGCCCAAAACTAACTGGAGACTGCCTGCCTGTGCTCACTGCTCAAACCAATGCTTCTGAAGCATGAACAAAAGCAGACTTTCACCAGCAGGCACTGCCTACACAAGAACATGAACAAGTCAATTTAATACTCTGATATAAAAATAAAAATACAGGCACCAGACTGACTTTTAGCATGGCAGATGTTCTGTAGGGATCTGAGCCCTTCAGAGCACTGCACAGATCTTCCAGAGCAGATCCAGATGTTCAGAGTCCATTCAGATTCTCAGATTTTTCTTCATCTCATTGTGAAGTGGTATTGTTCTGATTTTCTCTCAGTTTTACTCAGAGAATAGACAGACAACAGAGCAAGTTCACGCTGCTAGGGCCAGAGCATTTTCAGAATTTTAAGGTTTAAATTTTTTTCTCCTGAAGATACAGCAGAGTTATTAGTGCACCAAGAAAATAAGTGTTTCTTCCAAACTGCCCCTCACTTTGTTAATGAAATTCCTGATCCACAGAAGTGTCACTTAGAATCAATAGAACCAATGCTGTAAGAGACAGCTTGTAAATTCCCTGAAACAAATAATGAGAGAGGACAGGGAGGGGGAAGAGGCCCTCCTTGAATGCCTCAAACACAAGGAGATAAATAATGCAGGCCTGGAACTCAAAGACCTGATAAGGTTCACAGACGCCTGAAAAGCAGTGGGAGAACTGTCTTGTGAAGACAAGATAGTTCTGCCACTCCTGTAGTGAGCTTGCTAGCTGTCTGTTCTCAAGGTCATTGTGCTTGATAAGTGAACTGTTTCATTATCCATGCAATGTGTCTGAAAGTATGCATCCCTGCATATGCTAATGCAGATTATAGAGACCATGCAAAACATATATGACTATAGCACTCGTCTCTCCACCCAAATCATGCTACGTGTCACCTGGGAGGGGGAGAAACCTGAGATCAGGCTGCCCCATAACAAGTGGGGTGAGCCATGCTAATTCAGCAAACATAAAAAGGGAAAATGAGTGCTCCTGGGGTGAAAAAAGAAGACTATGCCTAGCAAGATTCTTTCCCAAGACAGAAGATTGTACCTCAAAAGATTTTTCCCAAGAAAGAAGATTAGGCCTGGGAAGATTCCCTGAGAAGACGCTGGAACCAGGTCCAGTGATCTCTTAGTCTCTCTCTCTGCTTATCTCTCTATCTGCTCCTTTTCCTTTTCTCTTTTACCTTTTCTTTTACAGTTACTGCTTGCATACCTGTTGCCAAGAATGCAGTCAATCCACTTAAGGAGTGACATTTGTAAATTTCAAAATTCAAACAAAACCTGTCCTGATTCCAGTGTGATGCCTGCATGTCAGTTTCTTTTTAACTACCAAGGCAGGGGCAGGTGGCCCTGTCCACAGCTCTATAAAATGCAGCATCTGCAACACTGCATTTCATTTTGTGAGAAGCACTGCTGAGGAGTGAGGTAGACAAGTTTCAGACCCACTGTACTGTATCAGTTCCTCTGTTAGTATAGCACACAAGTTACAAAATCATGCTTTTTTCAGCACAGTTAGAAATTTCATTCCATATAGAACGTGAAGTAAAATGAAGAGTAACTGTAATCTAAAAGCTATATAATGGTTGTTTTTCTCTGTATCACCGTGTCAGTGGTCTAACAGTTATTCACTGCTTAGGGTAGCATTTTACAATGAACTTTTATATTATCCAACAAAAAACATTTCAGAAATATATCAAGACAGATATGTATCAGACACATGGTTACCTCCTGTCCTTTTAAGAAATATTTTTTTCTTTAACTTTGGAGTTAAACACTGTCTTCCTACCTTACATGAGCTGCCCATGCCACTGTGACTATTAAGAAGGTCATCAAGTAGACTGCAATTTTTGCTAGAAGCAGCTGCTGAACACTTTCACCTAGTTTCTGAAACAGACACATAGAGGTAGAGAAAGGAAAGTCAAATGTTATATTTTGAAATTATTAGCAATATCTGCAAATGAGGAAGGACATGAAGTAATTAAACAGATTTTTTGAAAATGCCTGCTGAGAATGCAGTTCTCTTCCAACAATCTATTTACTACCATGCAGAAGAACTAGTTTATTAGACACTTCTAAGTACGCTGAAATACATACTTAGTGGCATATGACATACCAACACAGCTCTTCAATCTGTAAAAGGGCTTCCCAATTCTTTCTTCACATTGTGATTCATTTATGCACCTTCTCATCACAGCTACTGCGATAATGCCTTTCAGAGGACGGCTAGCCACAAAACGCCTCTTTTATTTTCTTTGCACTGACTTCTGGAGTAGAAGCATCACCCAGCTTTTCATGTGATGATTGTTAACAATGAGGAAGGGGAAGGCCTTACCACAGCATACTTTGCATATACCACCACAGTGGCTTAAATAAACTCATGTGGCATATTTGCCATGTTATGGATCATACTTGAATTTACAAAACTAGACAAGCCAAAGTATTTGCATCCTGGTCTGTTCTTAAGAGCCGAAAAATAAACCATGATTAAAAAAAACCCAACTGTAAACTTTCTGAAATGATTAATTTAGGTTTCCTAACATTCCTGTTTCTTTCAGAATGAGTTTGTTTTCTGTAGTCTTTTTCTACCTGTGTCTATTCTGATTACACTAATTACTAACCTGATTTTAAAACCAGCATTCAGCTTGCACTATGTAAGTGGCATCTCTAAATGATGATATATTACCAAAGAGAGCAGATGCTTTCTGAAAGATGTTTTGGTCAGGTGGGCAATTCACGTTTCATACAAAAGTGGATAAAGACCTACAGTACACAGCTCATTCAGGCTTTATATCACAACTTCTGCAGATTGTATCTTTACCATATAAATTCTTCACCCCAAGTTCACAGCTCCTACCCTTAGGGGAAATTTCTGATGGCTTTAATGTTACTTAATGGTTCGGGCTCTTTGAAAGTTTGAAACTTGAAATGAAGTGGGGGTGCTAAATTCGGATGTTACATGTACTTGGCAAAGACACGAGAAACAACAGAACAGAAGATGTATGATACCTGATCAGGATGTATTTTTGTGTGAGCCACGGGCAAAATCTGAAATACAAAACCTTATTAGTACATGACATCCTTTTCCTTATCGAGACCTTTATTAAAATATTATAAACTTCATGTGGCCGCAAATACTCCCGGCTCACACAGCTGCCCGCAGCCTGCCGTTCCGGAAGGCAGAATCGCCCTCCAGAGTAGCTCCGGGGCGCTGTTACCCTCACCCGCCACCGGGCACTGCTGCCGGGGGACGGCCCGCCGCCGCTCGCCGGCACAGGCCTCCCGGCCGCCGCCACCGGCCCCGGCGTTGCGCGGCAGCGGGGCCGGGCGGAACAGGCCAACGCGGCTCCTCCATCCACAGCGCCGGGCGGACGACGGCAAGGACGGGGCACGGCCGCAACCCGCGGGGGCCGGGACCAGCTGCGGCTGCTCAGGGCTTTTCCCTCCCGCCTGGCCGGCCCTGCCGGGCCTCCCCGCGGCGCCAGCGCGCCCACAGCCCCGCCACCCCGCCACCGCCGGCCTGGGTTCCGCGGTGGGGCCGGATCGGCCAGGCCCTACGGCGCGGCCGGGCCGGGCGCTCACCATCACCGTGGCGATGATGGAGAGCAGAGCGTCGCTG